GCGTTTTATTACAGTACACTCAATTTCATTGAGCTCTTTAGAGCAAATCAGTCTTTCACTGCATGGCTTGGTACTTTATACACCTCTGTCAATAGGACTGAATAAAACACCTGAATTGAATGATTAAGAGGTGTGTCCCAATACTTTTGTCCATATAGTGGATCAGTCAGCTTCAACTTCAGATCATCAGGAAGCGGCATAGAGGAGCCCAAGGTTATTGGGGGGTTAGAACCGGGTTTGAAGAGTCAGAGAATTTTTGTGCTTTGAAAGTGTCTTCTGATGGCTCCTAACAACAAGTGTTTACCTACCTAAACAGTCTTAACAAGTCAGTTAAGGCCTAATGAGTTAACCACAAGCACCGTCCAGCGTAGTCTGCCGAAGGTGCTGAAGGTATCGCTTTAAAAGCTATGTAAAAGCTATATTTGAATGAGAGGACTACAGTCGCAAATTTTATCATAGCAACATACAGCGCACTGCACTACTACGGATGGTTCAAAGGGTCAAACTAGGAAAATGTGTTAATGGCGTTGATTGTCATAATATTAACATATTAACTTTGACAGCCTTAATATTTAATAATATATCCCAAATGAACTGACGACTTTATTTGCAAAAAATGATACACAGCATCATCAGCACAGCATCATCAGCACAGTTATTCTTAACACACAGTGCATTCTGAACCTAAATATGTTTAATCACAAAAGCCGTTATTGTCCAATGTCACGGCACAACAAGTTCATGTTTTGCAGCAGAAATGGTCAAACGGCAGTGCTGTTCTCGCGCCGAACCCGATAAATCCATTCAGCGAATCAGAGCACAGTATTCGGGTCAGGTAACAGCTGCTGCATCTAAACAGAACACGTGTGCACAATTCACACAATTCATACTGGACACAAAGAGCAACATTTGGGGGTGAAAGCCAAAATTTTACATAGTGAAACAGTATAGGGAGCAGAGAGCCATTCGATATTCAGCCCTAGGATTTTCCAAGTATGATCTCATAGATGTTTAATATTGACCACTAATGGGCTGTATTTGTTGCAGTGGTCAGCATTTTACGTACTTGTTTTAAGATAAATAATGCTAAGGCGGAATTACTAAAAGAAACTTGTATCCATTAAGTGACTGAAATGTGAAATGACTGTTGGAATTATCTTATAAAAAAAAAACAAAATTAAATAAAAAAAATAATAAAATTTAGTGAAGTTTAATTTTGTAAGTTACCTGTATATTATTAAGTTACTTTTACTTAATCAAAACAACGCAACTGCAGTTTGATTGCTATTACCTGGAAATCAAAAAAACATGATTTATGAAAATTGAGATAAATTTGAGATGTTTTTTGCAAGTGAACTCAATTATATATAAAGAAGTACCTATATAATAATATATCCAGTAGATATTATAAATATTGCTGCTGTCAGAATAAAACCTTATAGCTGTAAAAAAACCAAACAAACAAACCAAAAAAAACATAACGTTTAATGCGGGTTATCCATCTTATTCAAGTCATAAATCATTTTAGACTATTTGGTCCATTCATTGTGAAAATGTAGAGCGACGTAGAAAAACTGGCACTTTCTAATCATGTGAAAAATGAAAATGAAAAATGAAGATTCAAGATTTTGTTCAGACTGTGACAACATGTAAGTATTTATGTGTAAAACTAATTTTCTAAGCCTGACCCTAAACCTTACTCCAACCACAGCCTTACCTTCAGTAACAATAGAGAAATTGTTTACCCTTTCAGAGAAAAAGAGAAACACTTCACAGAGTCTGAAGCGTTTTGTTGTTCCAGTAGATCAGCCCTGTTTTTCTCTGGTTTTTCTACAAAGTCAAGACATTTTTGTTCAGAAAACAAACAAAACACACTCACTTTCCACCTTCGCCCACCCGGAGCCATGTCCACCGCAGCAGACTTTGGCGGCCAGTCTTGGCCCTCGCTTTAATGTCTCTTATCTCTCTAACCAAATAATCCCAAGTAAGCCATAGCCGCTGGAATTCCACCAATGCAGTTGGCCATGGGGAAAGTACTCTGCTTCTACTCACCTGTGACCACCTTACCTGAGCCCCCAACCTCCCACCACGCGTGCTTCTGAACACACACCCACATTCAGCCTGGTTCAGTGGCTTTTTTTAAAGAGTAGAAGTAGAGAGGAAGGTTTTGTGAGTAACCAAGTGAAAGGATTGTAATCGTTTTAAGAAAAATTCACATTTTCCTCCCAGTGTAGTTGATCCTCTTCTATCACTGTATGCCTATGTTTTGATTGCAGGGGACTTCATCATCAGAATTCACCCTGGAATTTTTGCTCCAAATAATTCATTCCAGATAGCTCGTATAAATAAGATGCAGTGCTCAAACACCGGGATGTTCAAGCACTGCCTTTGCTGGAGTAGTTTGGTAAAAGATCGAGTCGTAATTCATTTTTACACAACCATTTTCCAACCTCTCTTTAGCTTTTAGACTTAAACGTGCTGTTTTTGTTATTGTGCCTTTAAGGCAGCTATGTAAATGAGCTCTGTTCTGATTGGCTGCCCTGTATTGTGCCTCATTCAGAAAGCAGTCCTTATAGCTTCAGCGTGAATGGGCATAGCTAAACTGCTGTAGGCTGAATAGGTGGTTTTTCCAAGAAGTGGGCCCTTAAGTAGTGTCAGATAGACTTGCATATGCGGTTCCTGACCCTGTATGTCACACTGTTGTCTATGAAAATGTACAAAAATACAAAATGTAGATGTTAAGATGGCGGCTACTATTATTTCTATATGACTCTTTTGTCAGTAACCTAGCTGTTACCATTGTGGCTCAACTGTCACTTTAAATTGTCGGTTTAGCCGGTCGGGGGTTGAATTCTGGTGCATCTCTGTTGTGTCTGTTTTTTTGGCTCAAGAGCTCATCTTCTCTTCTGATGGACATTAAATCTCACCTGCCCCCCCTTCTTGCTCACTCCCTTCCTCCTCTGGCTGTAAATGGCTCTTCCCTGTCATCATCATTACAGGGCTGATTACCTGTCATTAGGGTTCATTAAGGGCTATCTGGATGGCGGCAGGGGACAGCACAGCGGCCCCACGCCCTGCCCTGCCTGTCAACACCCCGGCCCATCCGTCCTCTGAGGGAGTCTGAGCCACGCTGCCAGCAGATACACACACACACACACACACACACACACACACACACACACAGACACAAAAACACACACAAACACACACACAGGTCCTCCTGTCTTAGCAGTTGACTTTAAAGCTGTGCTTTAGCCAAAAATCTAATTCTCACATCTTTCTCTTTACCTCAAATGTAGTCAATCAGCCATGTTTGCTGCCAAATCAGTCAAGACATGTTCGATGTTCTAAGTTTGCTTCTTTATTTTTGCACAGTAGCTTCACAGCTGTTTTTTTGCTGGGTGAACATAAATCCAAATCTGAGCAAATAGCAAAAACTGCAAAATATCAAATTATAAAGCACCATTTTTTGCACTGTTGTGCAAAATAAAAAAAAAAATAATAAAAACTACTTACATCAGAACTGCAAGCACATTTTTTCACAACAAGAAATAGTAATACCTGTATATTTTGTTAGTTATGGTGGTTCCTGATGGTGATGCACGTTTGTTGTGAAGCCATTACTACAGTTATTATTACAGTAGCCATTACTGTTTCACTTCTTTAACACACAGCTCTGGGATGAAGAATAATCATCACATTTCCAGCACTTTTTACAGTGTGTGTATTTTTTGTAATTGTGAGTTTAGTCAAATGTCTGAGTTAGTTACTCACCACGCAGCAGAGCAGGGTTCAAACCCAGGGCAGGGAAGTAATCGGTGATAATGTAATTACATTAGTATAGCGCTGCCTGTGTGAGATCATTTGATCTGTTGTGTTATTGCAGCACTTATTATTGCACGTTTTTATCACAGAAGCTCAGATCATGATAATAATAAAAAAGCTTTATTATACAGGCCTATTAACAAATAATGACAGCGTAAACTGCACTAATTAACATTGTATAAATAGCATGCATAAATCAAACATTTGACTCAAACTTGTTGTTCAGGTCAAACATACTTTATGTGGTACCTGACACTGTATGACACACTACTGACATTATCTATAAAAAACTACATAAAAAATCAGACTTTTTTTTATCTGTGCTTGCTACATACAATTACATTAAATTTCTAAGTGAAAATAAGCACACATCTATGACAGAGAACACATTTCTGTGCATAATTACTGCTTATTTGCTTAATTTAATATATTGGGGGGAAAAAAAGGAAAAAAAAGATAAATTGTGGCCTTTTTAAATTATGGCACATTGAATTTTATTAACAACGTTGTTTAACAACGTTAAACAAATAAATAGGAATTGTGCTCAAAAATGTGCACAGTTTTGGAGTTTTTTAATTCCCTAGAGAGAATGTGTCATGAATATGTATTTTTACTTGATAAATTAGTAAAACCGAGGGCACCCTAACTTTTGCTGTACAGAATAAGATTGTACATTCAGTGGTCTATGTATGCTTCTGTAAATATATATTAAAAACCTCTTATTATTATTTCAGTTTGGGGTAAGAATAGTGTTATATTTTTTTCTCATATGAAGCTGAAATTTATGGCAGCTGAACTTTGTGATGTGTATGTGAGATCATGTTACCTCCTCATATACAATAAACTTCTGTGTTGAGCTTCTTATCTGGTTCATTACTGTCTTCAAACAGTCCTGTCTCCTGGGTTAAACCTCAGACTAGAGCACTGCTCTTCAGCTCTGCCACAGGAGGCGCTATGTAATCCAAGTCTGTCCCTTGCCAATTGGCTCTAGCCAAAGTTGTTAAACCACAGGATGGAATTATAGGTGATTTTACTGTCTTGCCGATTACAACAGAGATGTGTGGCCTGTGCAGTGTTTTTCTATCCAGAAGTTAATCTCTTTTGGTTACGGCTGGAATCAGCCCCTCGCTCTCATTCTCACTCCCTCTCTTTCTCTTCTCTTTGCTTTCTCTCAGGGTTGGGAGGAGAGTGTGGATGCAGCAGTGTCTCACCTTTTGAGAACTTGTCTATCACGGAGTCCAAAGGACCAAGCCATTAGCCTGAGCACGACGCAGCTGAGCATGCCCAAAGACACCTTGCGCCTCAAGAAGCACATCACGCTACTCTGTGACCGCATCGGCAAGGGTGGCCGCCTATCTCTGTCCTCTGAGGCTAATGCTCCAACACCTGTAATGATGCCAGGTCAGGATAGTATGTTTGTGCAAGTTCATGTGAATTAGAGCTGCAATGATTAGCATGCAAAATTAGCCGTCAGTTACGGTAAAAAGTCAATGTGCCATTAACTTAAAAACAAAAATGCTTTATAAAGTTCATAGAATAGACATGGTCATTCCAACAGCACACTTATTACTTTATAATAAGTGATAGAGGTTATATGGCTTTTGTTGCCCCATAAAAGAAAAAATTGGTTTTCGCCAGCGGATTCTGGAATGATGGTAGCACTGTGGAAGCCACAGGAGTCATAATGGACTAGTTGATTAATGAAATAACGGTCCATAGATGAATCGATTGAGTATTGTGGGCCTACTGCAAAATTCTTACAATTTCCTTCTTCACGACTGGCCCTATCACTATCATTTAATTTAGGACTGCAACAGGGCTCAGTACATGGGCTGTTTGACTTTTGCTTTCATGCAGGAAAATGTGCATGTTTTGTATTTATTTATTCATTTATTTTTGTCCTTGCTTCACTTTCATTTGTCTTGAGACGTCCTTCGCCCCAAGAATGCCTGTGTAAAGGTTAAGAGCTTTTAAAGGGCGGTGTAAAAGAGCATGTGTTTCATTGATCCGTCTGTTTACTGTCTGGCTCTGTGTTTCTGCATACCTTAATGGCTCCGGGCCCTCAGCAGGGCCCAAGAGGACAGAGGCCCCTACGCGTCATTAAACCCCAACAAAAGGGCCCAACGGGGGCCAAAGAAGCCGCTTGTAAGCCTCGTTTTCCTTGTTTTCCTAAAGCACCTAATTCTGCCCTAGCTCGCCTAAAACACATTCATCTGTCCTGCAGCCGCTCTACGAATCTCTCTCACGCCGGACACCATTCGTCTTCTGCGTAGCTGTTACTTTCACCTTTTAAAGTCATTTCATGTACATGTACTCAGTGGCTGTATTCCAGAGAGTGTGTTGTATGTGCACCTTGAGAAAGACTGTAGGGTTCGTAGTTATTTTCAGGAACTTTATTTTTCTATACTGGTTTTTCAGAATCTACTTGATTCTAGGTGTGAATTATACAATAGTATCTGGAAGCTTGATAGGGTTCTTTTGAAACTCACCCAAGAAAAAATGTTTGAATGGTCACTTTTGTACATTTTGAGTGACTCCTTAGATGATTAAAGAAAATACCTCTCATATAGTATGCACTGGAGCTATTGGCTAATATTGCCAACCTGCAGTTTTATTGATATCGGTGATTAGTCTGCTAAAAATGACCAACCTTTATATTTAAAAAAAAAGGTTACAGTGCTGCTCATGCATATCGTTCAGTTCAGTTCAGCCTCAGAAAAGGACACTGGTTCCTATGTTTGTATCGACACAAAAGAAATGTTAGAAAAGTGAAAAATGTAAAACCATTAGAAAACAGCAAGGGTTCTACACAGTACTAAGAAAACGGTCTTTTACTCAACAATAGTGGAACTGTTTTAGTGCTGTAAAGAACAATTTTTAAATTTTTAAGAGTACACATCATTCTGCTATCCTATAGCTAACCCTGTTGAAGGAACCATACTGGTTTTTGAAACCATGTTCAGGTATAGGTACTGGAACAGTTTTCCATGCTAAGAACCATTCAGCCCAGCAGTGGAAAAGAGGCATATATACATTATACACACATGTCTAAAAGGATCCAGACACCCATTCTAATTAGCAAATTCACCTACACTCTGACCGGAAGTGTTCTAGATAGTACTGAAAAGATTTCCATCTGAAAAAGAAACAGAGAGAGACAGAAACAAACCTGTTCTATCTCTCTCTGTTTCTTTTTCAGATCTGAACTTTCTGAACGTGTCCCTTTTTTTTGGTGCTCGTTAGTTTTCATGAATAAAATTATTTTCTCTAAGCAACAAGTCTGTTTATGCACGTAATAATCCGATAACTGCAAAAAAAAGATTGTGTCAGTAATCCGATCAACACGCTTACATGTGAGTAATCCGATAATGGAAAACTCTGGGTCTACATGAGTTAGGCAGTAATCAGATTTCTGCTTTGCAGTCAGCCAATAAACTCACAGAAGAAGATGTGATGTAAACGTAATGTAACGTAACTTTACCTGAAACTGTAAACATACATCATCAAGACGAAATGTTCATGAAGAATATTTAAATCTGTATTTCGTCAAGCACGTAATTGGTTTCAGCGTCGCTCCAAAAGTTTTTTTTACTGCATCTCGTGGCAACACTGCTTGTTATTTCCGGTACCATTGTCTGTTTCGCATGTGTGCACACTGAGAAAACCGAAAGAAATCAGAGTAAGAGTTTACATGCACTGAGAAATCTGACTACTGAGCTAAAACCCAGCTATTTTTTTTTTCGGATTTCTTAATCGGATTTCTAGACCTTACTCGAATCTAAGAAATCAGATTTAAACAGATGTTGTTTCCATGACCATTTAAATAATCAGATAACTGCAGAAATCCAATTGTGATCGGATTTTTTGAGTGCATGTAAACGCACTCAGTATTATAACATTACTAATTACAATGTTGAAGGCTGCAGCACGGCTTTTTATTTTAACATGCATGACCACTGTAAAAAAAACAAACAAACAAACAAAGTGCTTCATTGTGCAACTATGGAATGTTCTGACGCCACACAACATATCTAGACTGTTATGAGCTGATAGACTGATCATATTTTGATCATATTTTGACAGACAAATATGGTTACTTTTGAGCATCCTAAAGCCAGACTTTGTGTTTTCTAACATTTAAATCTTGATTGGCAGTCGAAAAATTTGATCTATGGGCCATTATTGATACTGTTATCAATGTATATGAGCTAATCATCCGACAACAGTTAATGCTTTTAAAGCTGAATGCAATCAGATCCTCACAGCAATGTTCTAACATGTAGTGTAAAGCCTTGCCAGTAGAGTAGCGGCTGTTAGAGGCAGCAAACGGGGAGCAAACTCCCTATTAATACCCTTCATTTCAGAAGAAATGTTGACTGCAAACTTTTGGACATACAGTGTTGAATATACTAGTGTCAGTAAAAGGATGCAGTGACAGTGCACTGAAGTTCGACAGAAAAACCCCCCACAAAATTACAATGGACAAATCGAAGCGGTCATCTCTTGATTACTGTGTCCATTTGCAGTAGCCTTTGCTTTGCAGGACTTGCAGGACTCCACGCTCTCTCTCCTCACCTCTGGCCTGGGGCCAAAGCACACAGCCGGCTCCCATTTGACCAAAGGCCTGTCAGGCGCTGTGTAAACAGTAATTTATTACCCGCCCCGCTCCCGTTGCTTTTTCAACCGGCTGTGAACGCAAAGTGTTTACGTTTCCAACAACACCGGCGGCAACGCGGCCTCTCCCGGAGACTGCGGCGCGTGTGAGCGGGTTTGCGGGAGTGTGTGTTTGTGTGTTTATGTCTCCATGTTGTGGAGTGCGAATTATACGGATAGAGCTGTTGCTGCATTGTGTACTCATTTCAGGATGAGGACAGACCCAGCTGCTTTCACTGATACTGCAGGAAAAAGAGAGAGGGAGGAGGAGGGAGGCATAACGAGAGAGAGAGAGAGAGAGTGAGGGAGTGGAGGGAGAGAGGGAGAGAGAGAACGGGGGGGTCTTTGTCTGCTGAGGACGCTTTAAAAGCTGCAGATGAGTGAAGAATGTGTGAATGATTAACCGAGTGTCATTCCTTCCCCTCTCCTCCTCTCCTCCTCTCCTCCTCTCCCCTCATCACGTCTGCGGCTTCTTATCAGATCCCTCTCCTCCCTAATATCTCTGTCTGCCTCTCTTTCTCTCTCTCTCTCTATCTATATCTCTGCCTTTCCTGTCTCACCTTCCTCTCTCTCTCTTTCCTTTTGTCTCAATAACTCTTTGTCCTTGCTCTCTTCATCTCTCTCTCTTTCTTTTTTCTGTCTCACTCGGTCTCATGTTCTCTCTCAGTTTCTCTCTCTCTTCTTCATCATCACTCTTGGTCTCTTCCTCTTCTCTATAGTTCTGTCTGTCTTTCTCTCCCCTTTCTCTCTCTTTCTCCCTCTTTCTTTCTATATATATCGCTCTTTCTCTTTTCAATTGTTTCTTCCACTCTCTCTTTCTCTCCCCTTTATCTTTCTTTCTCCTGCTTTCGTGCTCTTTTTCTCTCATTCATCCCACTCTCAATTTCTCTTGTTCTTTCTCTCTTTCCTCTCTCTCTCTCGCTATCTATTGCTCTTTCTCTTTTCATTAATTTCTCACTCCCTCTGCCTCTCTTCTTTCTTTCTTTCTTTCTTTCTTTCTTTCTTTCTTTCCCCTTTCTTTCTTTTATTCTTGCTTTCTTTTTTCTCTCATTCTTTTCACTCTCATTTTGTCTCTTTCTTTCTTTTTCTTTCTTTCTTTCTTTCTTTCTTTCTTTATTTCTATCTATCTATCGTGCTCTCTTTTTATTCTCTCTCTCTTTTCATTCTCTCTCTCTCTTTCTTTGTCTCTGTCTCTGTCTCTCTCTCTCTCTGGAGTTCTGGCTCAGTCTGTTGTGGAGCAGCTGGGATGTGTAGATAGTGGATGATGTCACAGCGTCCTCCCCTGTGATAGTGAGGGATGGTGAAGTGGAGGGATGTGTGTGGATGGATGGATGGAGTGTGGGGATGAAGCGCTTGCTGTTTGGGCAGAAGCCCAGCGGTGTGGAGGAGAGAGAGGGGCTGCTCTCTGCCGATGAGTCCAGCTTTCCTTCACTGTGATGAACTCAGTCTGTGTGACGCGTCTCTCCTCCCTCCACTGCTGCACACACACACCCCCCCACACACACACATACACACACACATTCTGACACAAACACACCCACACATACACACACCCACACACACACACACACACACACACACACACACACACACACACATTCTGACACACACACACACACACACACACACACACTCTCTCTCTCTCTCTCTCTCTCTCTCTCTCTCTCTCACACACACACACAAACACACACACACACACACACACACACACACACACACACACTCTCTCTCTCTCTCTCTCTCTCACA